TCCAACCTACATATAGTAATATTTTCGGTAGAAACAACAAAAAATGATTGCAAAATGGCAGAACATTTGGGCACCATGTTCAGAAATCGCAGGAACAGATGAACCGTTCTTTGGCCGCTGCCCTCAGGCAGCCAGGCTGTGACAACTCCAGCTGCCTTTTGCCTCCCTCTCACCTGGTATGATGTACACATATTTTAATTTCCCAACATCAATCTGCAAAGCCAATGGCCGGCTTTAGATCAACTGTAAAGCTTATGAGAAAGAAAATGCACAAGAATAGAGAAAAAAGCCTTGTGAGGGCAGAGACTTAACTTTTCTGTAAAATATCAACCATTTATTGAGTAGGTCCTTTTGCCATTGTTTAAGATGCCTTCAAAACAAGGCTAAATTTTCACTTGTGAGTCTTATCTGACTTCTCCCCAAGGCTGCCACACACAACTGGGAGGGGTGCGCTGCACATCCCAGTGTGTGTGTTTAGGTGCGGTATGGGGGGCAGGAGGGGCGACCAGAGTCACACAGAGTTTTTTGCAAATGGCTTCTCTGAAGTTATATTTGTCTATCCAGCAAATGGTATTAGGACAATAGGTTTTCCCTGTGGAGAAAATATTTCCAGGTAGTTCATATCCCTGTCTCAGTATACACAAGCTTTTCATTTTGTTTTCATATTACATATTTCTATTTGAATTTTGTATTACATTTATAATCAGCAGAAAAAATATTTCTTAACGTCTACCAAAAATAGAGTATCTTTTAACAGTCTCTTGAGGATGTCTGTAGACTGCTCATGGGAATATCCGTGTGTGTTTTTTAAGCAGCCTTTTAAATATTTTTCTAAAAAGCTTTATTTTGTAGGGGACTTTCACTGTGTTTATTTTTTTGTATAAAAGGTTACATCTTTGGAACATGACACAGGTCACTACTTGGGTGGGTGAGTGGGAGTATATAGGTTATAGTGTAATATTTGTGGGGTGGGGCACTAGGAGGAGACACTATTTGAAATCTCATGAGAACCAACTTAAAAGACTTAACTTTAAAAAAAATTACTGATTTGAGAGAGAGAGAGAGAGAGAGAGAGAGAGAGAGAGAGAGAGAGAAACATCAGCTTGTTCCACTTAATGCATTCATTGGTTGCTTCTTGTACGTATGTGCCCTGACTGGGGATCGAACCTGCAACCTTGATGCATTGGGACAACACTCTAACCAATTGAGCTACCCTGGTCAGGGCAAAAGGCTTTAACTTTTGACACCCAACTAATAAAGATTCTTTGACTTAACATAGCCTTTCTAATGTTCCAGAACATTAACTACAGGTATGTAGGTATTCTAAGATTGTGTATGTTACTATTCTTCAGTTTTGAGTTTTTTTAAAAAATGACATTGCCTCTGAGTAATGTTCCTAAATTTCCACGTTAAAAGCCTTTCTATTTCTAAATAAAATCAAAAGCTTTTAACATTAAAAACTGGATGCATTTTTATGAAAGACTTGCCCTGATCCTTGATATTATAATCACATGCTCTCGCTAATCATCTCTCAACAAACGCATATAGTGTAGCATGAAGGTTATACAGTGGCTGCTTTCGAGTTTTCAAAGATACACAGAGTGCCTTTTTCTGCTACAAATATGTACAAAACCTTAAAGATTTACTGATCAGCTTTATGTGAAATAAAATACTAGAGTTCTATCCTGAATTAGAAGAGGAAGCAAACATAAAAGAACCAGTTCCTCTTAAGATCCTAGATTCTTTTCACTTGGGGCACAGCATCATGTACTATGTATGCTCTTGCAAATAATAGGGGCTAGATATCCTAACATTTTTTAGACAACTTCTGAATAACCTGAAATCATTTTATTTCTTATCACACACAGCATTAGAGACTAACATTCAGCAATTCGAAGAAAAATGGCAGCAGATGAAGGAAGAGATTGAGCTACTTCAAGACTTAAAACAAACTTTGTGCTCTGTTCAAGAAAACAGTGCTTCAGTATCTTCTTTATCTTCTTAAGAGTTACCATTTCCTAAGCCAGACATTGGGCATAGCTGCAAGCAGGCTGAGGACTAGAGACCAGGCCTGGGAAAGCCACACATCTCTAGCACAAGGTCTCGTGTCTCTCTTGTCTGCACACTTTGACCCTCACCAGCTCAAACCTGTTCATGCCTAGCTGGGTGTTTACTGCCTCCCTCTTATGATCTCACTTCTCCTACCTCTCCTCTGACAAAATGTTTCTCAGATTCTACTTGAGTAAATTGGATCATGCCTCCCATATCTCCCAACCTCTGTACTAAAACCCTTTCTCTGGCTTCCTGCTGACACATTGCCTCCACCCGTCTCCAGTGAAATAGGTCAGCAGTCGCCAACCTTTCGGACCTCCGGTTGGCAACCGCTGATCTAGGTTGATTCCAGTAACACACCAGGTGCCCCTGCCTCCAGGGCCTTTAGCACATCCTGTGAAGTCTTAACTGCTCTTTTGCCTTCCTCTAACTGCTCCCTCTGCAGATCTTATTATACATGTTCCTCCCACTTATTCCATCTGAGAGTACTTTTCCTTCCTAACACTTTCTAGTATAATCCACTGTACTTACATCACACTGCTGGAGTATCAGCTCTGAGGGCAGGAACTAACTATTCTGTGTTTGCTTACTATCACATTCCCAAGCACCCAGCATGCTCCATAAATGTTTGTTCAATAAATACATAAACTGTTTTTATCTTTTGAAACTATTTCTAGCCCATAATGCCTCTTAGCTATAATAAATTTGAATATTTTATTTTACTTGTACCAAATTTGCCTGTCTTCTTGTCACAAAGTCTGCTTTTTAAATTTCTTCTCAGCCACAGTCATCACATAGAAATACATCATCTTCAAAATAAACACTGAGATTTAAAATTGGACTCTGAATAAGAATATCAGTGAGAATATGTAAGAATGAAAAAAAAATGATAGTTACGATTTTTTTTTAAAAATATATTTTATTGATTTTTTACAGAGAGGAAGGGAGAGAGATAGAGAGTTAGAAACATTGATGAGAGAGAAACATCGATCAGCTGCCTCCTGCACATCTCCTACTGGGGATGTGCCCACAACCCAGGTACATGCCCTTGACCGGAATCGAACCTGGGACCTTTCAGTCTGCAGGCCGACGCTCTATTCACTGAGCCAAACCGGTTTCGGCAGATAGTTACGATTTTTAACATTACATTCACATTTCTAATTTTTTACTATAGTACCTTAATTCACAATAATCCTACATTTCTTACTGTTGTTAGTTCTCATCCAAGGGTATTTTTCCATTGATTTCTTAGAAAGAATGGAAGGGAGGGGGAGAAACAGAGAAACATCCATTTGAGAGAGAAACATCAATTGTTTGCCTCCCACATGCACCCTGATCAGAGCCAGGGATCGAGCCTGCAAATGGGGTATGTGCCCTTGAGAGGACACTATCCACTGAGCCAAACTGGCCAGGGCAATAATGCTACATTTCAAAATGAGTTTGATTAAGTCTCAGCATTGATGCCGGGTATGTAGTAAGTACTCAAAAAAACATCTGTTCAGAGAAGAATATGATGTAGGTGAAAAGAGAATGGGTCCATACCTGTTGTAAAGGTAACCCTAGCCGAAGTCATTCTTACCTGAGGGACAAAAATCAAGGTCAGCTGTTCTCAAATTTGCACATCAGAATCGCCTGGGGGACTTAACAAACTAACAGCCAAGACTCCATCCCAGACCTTGAATCAAATTTCCCCTGGTCTAGATGGTAACTAAGCTTCTGCCCCTGATACTGAGTAATAGTTTTGACTTCATGATCTTTATTTTAAAGAAAACCTCTGTCCTCCCACGTTATTTTCAAATTTAATCTGTCATTCACAAGATTACTTTGGCACAATGCAGCTCATGTTTTGCAGTCATAAAGTAAGCAAATGTCAGGCAAACGCAGGCCTGGTTTGTACTTTAGTTCTATCACTTAGTACTGAAAAACTTTAATCACACTGTTTAATCTATCTGAGCCCAATCCTGCCTACCTTATGGTACAAAATGTGGGCATGAAAAAAGTGTATGTGCAGCACGGCATGAATGATGCTTGGCACCGTGGGAAACAAATGTTCTCACATACACACATCCTCCCCTTGCCAGCATTTCCACCTCTCAGACCCTGGCTTTTCTACTCAACCAGACTTATGTCAGGCTCATCAGCTCCCACCTGTAAGCCTTTGCTTGTGCCACTTAACGTGTTTTGGAAATAAGCTGACAGGACACTTATGTTTTCCCCCACACCGCACAAACGTCTTCAGATATGCTTCTCGTATTAACTCTCTTAGGTTTTCTCTCACTATCATGAAAAGCTGTTTATAGATATGTTATTGTGTTAACTCCTAAACCTTTCCTATAATGTATACTTCCCTTGAGGGCAGGGACTATTTATGTCTTTCCCTTCACTTATAAGTACCCCAAAGGATTCAGGTTTTTCTGCTGTGACATTTCAACTGTACTATCTTTCAGCAGAAATAAATCAAAGGATTTTTATAGGGGTGTGTGTGCAGTTTAGACGCAGTTGACACATGTTCATGGTGGTATCTATTTTTAGCCTGATACCTGCTAAGACTCACAGCGCAGATTTTTTTAAGTTGTAAAATTTCCCATGTTAACTATGTTTATGTGCACAGTTCTGTAGCGTTAAGTAAATTCATTGTTTTGCTACCCCCACTGCTGTCCATCCACAGAACTCTTTTCATCTTGCACAGCTGTAACTCTGTAACTGTGACTCCCCATTTCCTCCTCCCTGGAGTCCCTAGCAACCACAACCTACTTTCTGAAAGTCTCTGACTGTGACAGGTACTTCACATAGTGGAATCATACAGTCTTTGTTGTCTGGTGACTGGCTTAGTGAACCTAGTGTAATGTCTCCAAGGTTCATCCAAGTTGCAGCATGTGTCAGACTTTCTTTTTATGGCTGCATATCACTGATTTTTGAGGGGGGGTGGTGGAACAACTACACACCTCTTTTTAACAGACAGCTTTATTTATTAATATGTCATTCTAAACATTACATAAATACAACCTATACATTAGAGTATCAAACATTGTTCCAGTAAGAAGATCAACAGTACATTTAGGGCTATTTTAGGAAATATGAATACTTTGGCTTGCATTATTACATCAGATGAAAAAAGCAATTCAAAGAATAGTTTTCATCTCTATGATTAACAACAAAACCAAGTAGAAAAATAAGTATATATTTTTAAAAAAAGATAAACAATTTTGAAGGACTTATTCCTGATCTCTTCACTACATACATACTCACACAAGTTACTCAATAATATGAGAAGTGGTTCTTCACAAATATTTGTTCAATGAATGAACCATGTATGGAAATGGACCTACTACTTTAATTTGTGCTTTTCATAGTCCTTTTTTCAAGTAAGAGCAATAGTAAACATACTGAAGTTCATGTTTTGTCCAGATCAAAATAAGCCTACAGAACAGTGATTGTTACAAACACTACCCACCATAATTAATAAAATTAATATGTATTATCAACCTAGTAAGAAAAGTTCTATCATGTTACAGATCCAGTTCTAACCTAATCACTGGACTTCAATCACTAGCAACATGGTCAAGAAAAGGGGGCTGGGACTTCTAGATTTGCATATGTTTTACCTGTCAATGAATTTCTAGCTTCGGGCCCTCACTCCCTGCTACACACATACACTCAAAAACACTGCTAAAAATAATAGCTGCCGCATCTCTTCACCCTCTTGTTAACCTGAAAATGTATTTAGGCAAGAGTATATTGAATATGTCATTTTTATAGGGGAAAAAGTGTGTGGAGGAGGGGGCAATTTAAACTTGAGTTCTCAAATTTTATCTTAATAAAATAAAACATCGTTAAATAGTAGTGGAGATTCTAATTTATAAATACATTTGATCTGAAAATGTATTTAGGCTCCAAGTTCAGATGGGAGGACCTTCTAAGCAAGAAACAGAATTTGCTAAGAGAACTCCCACAAATGGAAATGAGTCCGTGGATTGGAGGGCAGAACAGAGCTTTGTTCTTAAAGCAACTGACACACACGACAAAGCTTAAGAGTTGAATATTCTTACCTTCCAAATCACACTTCATAACCAGACCCCCAAAAACAAAACAAAAAAATCCCGTAATTTTGATCCTTTTTCAAGGTCCAATTGTGCTAAATATTAGACCTAACACAATTAAAAGGAGAGGAAAACCAAAAGTAAAAGCTGGCAAAGTTTCAAATAAGCGAATTGGTGATGGATTTGGTCTAGATAAGAGATAAAACTAATTCCTGTAAGTCCTGTAAGAGAGTTGGTTTTAAGAACCTTTTCTTTGAATCATATGTAGCAGATCTGATGATTTAGCAGCCACAATTTAGGAAGGCAAGAGTATACTGAATATGTCATTTTTATAGGGGAAAAAGTGTGTGGAGGAAGGGGCAATTTAAACTTGAGTTCTCAAATTTTATCTTAAATAAAACATCGTTAAATAGTAGTGGAGATTCTAAGTTATAAAACATTCACCTTTGTCCAAATTTCTTTCATTATCAACTTTTCACAGACAGTTCTAAATTACTACTCTTTATGTGCTTAAGTCTTAAGAGAAATCTTGGCTAATCTAAAAATTTATCTTAACATAATTATCATTTCAATAGATTTAACTCATATTAAACTTAATATTATTTTCATACACCATGAAGTTAAGAAAAAGTCCAATAGTGCAAACACACAAAAAAAAGCCTCAAAATATCTCAGCTATTCTTTCACAGTAAGGCAGTTGAGCTAGCAACTAATGCAGCAATTCAGTAAGCCCCAACGTCAGCATCTTTAATTCATGGTGGGGCCTCTATGTCTAACTCACAATTCACTAACTATCACCACCCCTAGTGTCAAACGGATTGTTGATAAGTGAGCCAGGAGAGTTGCCACAAACGTCCCCTTTCCAAGTTCATAAATTCCTCTAATGAAAAACAAAAAAACAACCAGCTAAACTTTCACCCTTTTATAGTGTTCCAGACAAACCGATAGTCATATTTAAAATATACATGTCTGGAAACAAGAGTTGTTTAAAGTAAGTTCAGGAAAAGCCATATATCCTTCATATATTCCTACACAGAGAATTGTGTCTCAGATATGAAAAGATATAAGTTCAGGAAAAGCCGTATATCCTTCATATATTCCTACACAGAGAACTGTCTCCCAGATATGAAAGGACAACCTGATGGTTTTTACCTGCAGCATATCACCAGCAGAGCACAAAAGACACACCATCACCAGTGCCCAGAGCACTCACACATAGCCCAGCAGCCTTGGCTTCAGTTCTTAAAGGCTCCACATTTACTGGCTTTAGCAATGAATTCCTTTAGCAGAGGGCCATCCATTTGCCAAAATGCTGCAGTCTGTGTAACTTCTGTCAAATGATTGATGCAAAACTTAAAGCAGAATTCTTCTAAATCCTGGACACACACAACAAAAATAAAAACAAGAAGAGGCCTTTTTAAATTAACCTTAATTGAATTACTCTCTCCAAACCCTTCACCCCAAGTACCTCCCCCTCCCCCAGAAAGGATAGTTGAGTCCAGAAACCTCAAATTAGGCAAACAAGTGGCCACAGATAGGTGTCAGAAAAGCACATGCTATTTACTCACAACACAGTAAAAGCAACGGTTCCCTATCTCGTCTGACTCTTCAAAACATACCCACATGCACACACAGTCCATGAGGGAAAGTTTCCTCATGGTTATCACACAGTCTAGTCATACTTAACATGATTTTAAAAAGCTAACGCAACTTTAGTCCCAATCATATGTTTTACCACATTCAAGAAGTCAGAGAAAAGAATTAAGATATGGGTTATTTAAGGCAGAGACTACAAAAATAAAAAGGGGGGGGGACTATAAGAATTAGAAAAGCGGTGGAGAGGTGCAGTCAACCTAAAGTGACGCATTACAAAAATTTCCAAGGGCCTTGAATTTACCCTCCGGCTCTCCTAAAGACAAACGCCTTCAAGAATAATACTCAACAACTTCCATCACACCAATTTCTTAGATAGATGGTTAACAGGAAGAAGAATATTCAGAGATTGGATTTTCAGTCAGACAAATGGAAGTAACCAACCACCACCATTCGGGAAAGTAATATATACAAATGGTAAACCAGAACAATTTAAAAATCGATTTCTGCCTAACTAGTACAACCTGTCATCCCCAGCAAGACTCTAATGTTGTTTGTTCCTTCGTATGTTGGAACAGATATTAAATCAATGAGATACCAGGAATATATACCAAGACTCAGTATATAAAAGCAAATCCCACTAATAACTTTTATCACAAATAGCTTGACTTTTATCACTTTGCTGGATACTGTGGAGGTACTCAGGGTCCTATCAAACCAGGAATTCAACAACATTTAAATGGTACAGTCTTGACTTCACATTTCCAGCAACCACGAAATGAGAATTTTAGGCAAAATGGGGAAGGACTCACACAAACATATGAACACACACCTTTTTTGCTCTCTCGGTGCAGACCTCTTCGAATAAAGACTCCCTTTATCCTGAGGAGCCTCTGTCTCCACTGAAAGAAGGATACTCCCCTCCAGGAATATAACCAGTAGGAGATAAACTCCATCTAGTGTATACCAGCCAGCCACTGCCAGAGTTTTATTTTCTAGATAATTCAAAATGCATTTAAAATGTTAGCACAATCTCTGAATCCATATTTTTTAAATATATTTTATTGATTTTTTTTTACAGAGAGGAAGGGAGAGGGATAGAGTTAGAAACATCGATGAGAGAGAAACATCGATCAGCTGCCTCCTGCACACACCCTACTGGGGATGTGCCCGCAACCAAGGTACATGCCCTTGGACCCTTGAGTCCGCAGGCCGACGCTCTATCCACTGAGCCAAACCGGTCAGGGCTGAATCCATACATTTTTTTTTTTAATATATTTTATTGATTTTTTTTTTTTATAGGGAGGAAGGGAGAGAGATAGAGAGTTAGAAACATCGATGAGAGAGAAACATCGATCAGCTGCCTCCTGAACATCTCCTACTGGGGATGTGCCCGCAACCCAGGTACATGCCCTTGAACGGAATCGAACCTGGGACCTTTCAGTCCACAGGCCGACGCTCTATCCACTGAGCCAAACCGGTTTCGGCTGAATCCATATTTTTAATAAGAGATAGCAAGTGGATTGAATAAATGTACAACTGAATGCTCTGAGTATTATAGTAAATTAAAATGCTAAACTATATAAAACATTCTCTCTCACGTTAATATTAAAGAAAAAGTACTACTCCTGGTATTTCATAACCCAAAGTTTAATAAATAGCTCTAGGGACTAAATTATTCCACAGGAAGATATACTTTGATCTTATTTATCAAAAATAGAAAACTAGTTTACCCATAACTTAGGAAGAAGTAGCCAGTCATGAGCAAGAAAGTTCTTCAAATCATGTAATATATCAGATAAGGATCTTTAAATATTACGTTTTAATTATATAATTTCAAATTCAAAGGAAAAGAAGCCTGGCCAGTGTTACTCAATGACTGAGTGTTGACCTGTGAACTAGGAGGTCATGTTTTATTCCCAGTCAGGGCACACGCCCAGGTTGTGGGCTCCATCCCCCCCATAGGGGACATGCAGGAGGCAGCAGGTCGATGTCTGTCTGTCTCTCTCTTTCATCAATAGAAACATTAAAAAAAAAAAAAAAGAATGCAAACTGTGCTTCTAATTACAAATCAGTTCATATATCAATAAAAATAGTTCTATCAATCTGCCTTTGAATTGGTGAGATTTCTCAATATTCAACATATGTTTAACAGTTTCAAACATTAAAAGTCTAACTAGGGCCCTGGCTGGTAGGGCTCCGTGGTTAGAGCATTGGTCCCCCGCACGAAGGGTGGCAGGTTCCATTCCAGGTTAAAAGCACATACTAGTACCTGGGCTGCAGGTTCATTCTCCAGTCCCAGTCCAGGAGTGTGCAGGAGGCAATCTGCGGACACATAAATCTTTCTCTCTCTCTTTCTCTCTCTCTCTCTCTCTCTCTCTCTCTCTCTCTCTCTCTCTTCTCTCTCTCTCTCTTTCTCTCTCTCTCTCTTCTCTCTCTCTCTCCCCCCCCCCCTTCCCGCTACTCTATATAAAAGCAATGGAAAAATATCCTCAGGTGAGGCTTAAAAACAAAAGTCTAACTAGGGAATACTGAAAATAATCTAAATATCCATTGTTTAAGAAACTAATTGAACCTTGGTGAAGGCAGATTTATGGAAAAGGAAGCATTGAAAGCACTTGGAAAGAGAAACTGGAATATGCAAATTCATTTGCATGAATTTGAGAGTGGCATAGCCAAGCGAATTCATTGCGCAACCAATGCCCTGAACCACTTTGCCTTAAATGTGTGAATTAGATAAACATCTTTCTGATAATTCTTAAATACTGTAAGAACCTACATGATCTGTTCATCGCATTCTGCAAATGATCAGATCTTCTATTGCTTAGAAAAGAAAATGCAACTCTTACCCAATCAATATAGCAACTATAACAGGATTGCTGGGCTTTAAATAAAACCTTTCCAAGGACAAGAATGACAGAATGAAAGAGTTTTCTCAAGGCCCATTGAATAGGGAAGTGGGAGATGCAAAATCTAACACGGTGTTATCGTTAGTATTTTAGAACTGACGTCCATGTTTATGACATCTTGTGGTGAAATTGTTATAAAGGCAAATAGCATAAAACATCAGATTTGTTGTAATTGGTGTTATGGGTTAGCTCAGCGAGATAGACCACCGACTCAGAATTTAAATTTTAAGAGCCTTTATTAAGCTGGCCAGCTGACTTCCAGCCGTGCCCTTCCCGTGAGAGCCCCACAGCTTGCAGTGCCGACCGAGAGTACAGCAAGACCTTTTATCTGCAACACTACAAAGTATTTTTTTTAAAAAAGAAAAAACAAACTGCAAAGCGGTTCATTAGCCATTCCTGGTACTGGCAGGGTAAAAAGTTTACATAAAATTTACGAGCAGGGTCACACCTGGCTGGGTTCAATCATAACACATTGCTTTTCTAGCGAGGTAATTAGCAATTTTTCTCTCCCATGATCCCTGCCCCTCAGCCTACTTAGTAATTCTTCTTTGTCAGGCCCCTGCCCCTAGCACAATTAAAAAGGAAGATCAAAATTAAAAACTGCTATACTGAAATAACTTATAATTTCATTCCAAATTTTTAATACATGATTTAATTATTTCAGTCACTATACATACTCAAAAAACAAGTTGTTTTTCCTTCCTTCCCACAGATTTTCTTTAGTAACAAGAGAATTGATGGTCTTAATATCAATTTAAAAAAATGTCTTACTTATGATTTTAGAGACAGAGAGAAAAACAACAATTTGTTGTTCCACCTATTTATACATTCACTGGTTGATTCTTGTATGTGCCCTGACTGGGGATCGAACCTACAACCATGGCATATCGGGATGTTGCTCCAACCAACTGAGCTACCTAGCCATGGCTTAATATCAACATTTTAAAAATGCAATTTTATTTACTGGAGTTATTCAGTCCTAAAATACCAAAACTAAAATAGCTGAATGCTAAGACTTCCTGTGGAAGGGCACTTGGCCACAGTAAGACAGGCTGCCTTCATGTCACAAGCCACCCTTGAGACACATGCAGGTGACAAGAGATGGCGAACCATAACTAACTGTCCAAACTTGTTAAAATAATTGTAAAACAAAGCCCCTAAACCGTAAGTCTGGAATTCACTTTATAATATGTCAAGTACAAAATATTTCATATTGAAGTGGGTGTTTTTTCTAAGAATGTATTTAAATATCTTACCATATGGAAAAATAGAGAAAGATGCTTTCTCCCATTACCCCAAACATATTTTACAGTCTACTGGTCATAGAAAACTTGTAATCTGGCCCTTAGAAAGAAGAAGAAAAATGCTGACCATCTGACTTTAGCGTGAAGTTTTCCAATACTCACATCCCAAACCACTTTTGGAATTACATTTCTGGGCTCATATTTATGGCTTCCCAACAAAAACAAAATCCTAAGATACAAGTTACTCAACAAGTAGGATTTTCTGGAAAATTCTCTAATCTGATTAAACAAATAATACTTCCCAACTGTTCCTCCTAAAGTTCAAATATACATAGAAAACAAAAATTTCCTGAAACAGTATAAACAGAAACATTTCAAGTTTTTTATAATGTGACACAGAAGTACCTCAAGACAATGTTTTACTCACATTTTCTCCCTTGATGTCAGTATTTATTCAGATTTATGCTAGAGGATTACTTAAGTGCTCCTTCTCCAAGTCCCTCTTTACTTTATAGAAAGTTTCATTCATAATGACAGGACCCCACAATAGTTAATTTTAAAAACTCTTCATAAGTAGTGAGTCAATACATTTTTGTTGCTTTTATGTGTGCACATTTGCTTAAAGATTATCTTGTCAAAGGGTGTATGGAGGAACAATAATAACTTTTATAGAAAAGGGAAGAAACATGAGAAGCAGGTGGTCTCCATCTTCCTAGCATTTCAACCCACAGAATGAAGGCAAAGGCATCTAGTATCCTCAAGTTGAGCTTCTGAAAATAACAGTTTTTGCAGCTAATTTCAGATATAGTAAGTGTGTTTTATTTTTATATTCTAAAGACTTCATTTATTCATTTACTACGTTCAATAACATTAAGAAAATAAAAATTAAATTTGTCAATTATGTAATTCCTATCAGAACAACAACAACAAAAAAAAAACCACCAAAGAAAGTGATTCTTTTTATTTTTGTCTCCTCTCTATTTTATAATTTTTCCATATTGACTGTGTTATATTTGTACTAGTGATCTGGTGCATGGATTCGTGCACATTAAAGGAAATTAATTAGAAGAAATATTTTAATATCACTATTCGCCCTTTCTCTATAATAGAAGTGTCAACCAAATTCATGATTGACAATGACAGATTGAAACACATGCATGCTTCAATAAAGACTGTCGCCAGCGAGAGCTTTATATATATTGCTCATGTGTGAGTCAACTTAGACTTTTATATATATATAGATAAACCTGCTTAATTAGACCTGCTTTCTGATGTAGCTAAACTTTTTCCAGCCCAGTGAAGCACCCCAACTTCTCTTTCAGGTAATTGTCAGCAACACAGCAGTAAATATCAACACAAAGCAGATTATTATTGTAGATCACGCAGGGAGAAAAAAGGGTGATTCTTTTTATTTCTGTCTCCTCTCTATTTTATAATTTTTCCATATTGAATGTGTTATATTTGTATATTTTTTTAAAGTTTTTTAATAAGCACATCTTCATGATTACATGTTTCAAATACATTCATTCGTGAATTTAACTCAATGTATATTTTTTAATACTAACTATTCGCCCATATTGTGGCAGACTCTGAGAGATCCCATGCATTTGTGGTCTCAAATAATGGGTTTTATTTTTAATGTGTTTATATTTAATTAAGAAAAAAAATAGTCAAGGAAATGATCAGCGAACAGACTTTTCTATAAACTTTCTGGGGTACATGTTAGCTAGAAGTGAGGAAGAAAGTTTCAGCAACTAGAGCCGAGATGTTTACCTCTGTCCAGATGGTTTTAGTCAGCAAGATCCCACCCCCAAAATGTGAAACTCATTAGCAATGGGGAGGAATATGGAGAGACACAGACAAGATTTTAAAATCAATCACAACATGGAGAGAAAAGACACTGGCAATTTAAAATTAGATCATTGGGTGGGAATTAAATCTAAGGAAATAGCATTTCTTTTTTTAAAAATATATTTATTTCTTTATTGATTTCAGAGAGGAAGGGAGAAGGAGAGAGAGATAGAAACATCAATGATTTGAGAATCACCGATTGGCTGCCTCCTACACACTCCCCACTGGGGACCGAGCCCGCAACCCAGGCATGTGTCCTTGGCCAGAATCAAACCTGGGACCCTTCAGTCTGCAGGCTGACGCTCTATCCACTGAGCCAAGCTGGCCAGGGCAGAAATAGCATTTCTAATAAAGAAGCTCCTATCAAAGAAAGGGCAGGAGGAAAAACTATACTTCCATTTTCTATTAGAAATATCTTTTGATCATTATTCCATCTGTTGAAAAGGCTACAGAGAAAGTCAGCTATATTTGACCTTATCAAATATTTATAATAGTAACATAATCTCAAATAAAAATAGTACACATTTTGAAAACACAAGACATAATGGCGCACTTCGATCCCTAAGTGTGGTAAGGAGGAAGTCTGTCCTCCACCACCTCTCCAAGGCCACAGCTGCAGGTCCTTGCAGGTGTTTGGTAAATTCCCTGGAACCAGGTATTCTGTCGCATAATATGATGACAGAATACTTACAATACTAGACAAATTGTGCCCTTTAGGGTGGAGATCTTAACTAGACGTCGTGAACTCCAAAGCTACTGCTCTCTACCTTTTATTCCCTGTGAATTTGTAAAACCAACCATACCAACCTTTAGTTCACTAAGCATCCCTAAAGCTCCCTTTGGGTGGTTCAACAAACATTTATCATCCAGAGCCTACGATGTGCCAGGCACCACAGGGTGCACAGATGAGTAAGACCCAGTTCCTGCTCATGAGGAGCTATGGTTCTTCACTTCAAGAAAATGCACATGAATACAAAATGTCAGACTCCCAAAGCCCTTTCAATCACACTCTTAAGAGATCCATCAATCCCAAAATTAAGAATTCAATCCAGTGTAAATAAAAAATAGACAAAAAGGATTCCAGAGCAAGTTCTTAACACACGAATAACTGTTATAGTCAGACAATGATAGAATTTCAGAGCATAAACAGATATAAATCATATGGCATCCATGGCGTACGACATGGTAGAGCGGAGGGACAGCAAAGTGGTCTTAAAAAAACACATATGCTGACCTTGAGAAATACTTGAACTAAAATACGTGGTTTGTTAGTCCAATTAGGTGTGCACTTCATATTCCAACCAGCAGTACAGCTGCTGGGACCTCAATTTCTTATCTTAGTTAAGAAGGAAAAGAGAGGAATAATAATTTTGAAACTAAGAACAGAAAATAAAGAAGCAAGGCCAGATTTCATTGTTCAGGGATCAGTCACTTCATTGATTCCTAGTAGAAAGGAAGTTACTCATCATGGTCCTTGTTGAAGTGAGAAAAAGAGAGAAAGGAGCACACAGGGAGTGAGGGGTGGTTTGAGTGTCTGTTTGTGGTTTTACATTACCTCTGCATCGTATCTGACTGCAGCAGAGAATAATGAAAAGGCATTCTCCACAGTGATTCCTTGCTTGATAATGTGCTGACAAAGTTTTTTCAGTCTGTTTTCACAGTAAGATGTCGCCAAATCCAAAAGACCTACAAGTTAAAAGTATAGCAGTTTTAATAAAGTTTACGATAATGTCCCATAATTTAAACATATACGTGTGTGTGTGTGTGTGTATGTATATATATGTATATGTATTTATTTTGTTTCTGGTGCACAGAGTAATGTAGGTAAATCAGAAGTTTCTTAGTGAATAATACTTGAATTTTATTAAGTAAGTTCTCTTTGTTACTCCTTACCTCCCCAACTCCCCAAACAAACCTCTCTTTTTTTTTTTTTTTTTTTCATAGATTCCCTTCCCCAAGAGTATGGCCAGATAATAAATGAGCCGACTCAAGCCTTGTTTATTAATCTGATGTAGCTACCTGCCCACCTGAGGAGCCCCAAGAAGGCAGCCTTTCTGATACAGACGGAAATCAGGTTAGGGTGCTGAGCGCTGAGCATGGCCAGGCCGGGAGTGTTTGTTCTGGGGAATGGGGTGTGTGCACCTCCATATAAAACATACCCCTGGTGCCCGGCCTGTGGGGCTCAGTGAACAAACCTCTCTTCTACTCACTTTATACAATTTCTTCTACAGTACAGAGAAAGGCAAAAAATTAAATTTCCCACTCATTTTTTTCTAAAATGACATGATAAATCCATTATCAAGTTATACTTAAGTATTAAAAAATTAAAATAAGTCCACAAAATAATTTTGGACTTATGTGCAAAATTATTAACCATAACTATACAATATTATTTTAAAGATATTTACTTCAAATATTTTTTAAAAGCCAATAAACCTGAAACTCTTCATGTTTCAATACTATAAGAAGATGAGGAGCTATATTTTTGACCATATGATATGGCCAGTCCCAATGTGGCTGAGTACCTATAGCATCTTCAGGTGGCAGGTCCACCGTGTCTGTGTAGAGGAACTGAAGAAAGGCACGATACACTGGGTAAGAAAACTGGTCTATTTCTATCACTTCTTTCATGTCCTCATTCCAATAAGACTGAAACATGGATCGGAAGTGCTCACACCTAAAATGGAACAGGAAGTCAATTCAGTTGATGGAATCAGTTAAACAAATACTACAGGTATCTTTAACTACTATATTTGGGCTTCCACACGCCAGGATCATGAATCTTTAGCTAGTACTCTAAAAAAAATTCCATGTGCAAGAATTTTTATATTTGCCTTTTATGTACACTCATTTTCATGTTTTTAAATCTTCAATCAAGGATATGTTTTTATTGATTTTGGGAGAGAGAGGAAGGGAAAGAGAGAAACAATCAATGTGAGGGGAAACATCAATTGGTTGTCTCCGGTACGCACCCCACCCAGGGACTGAATCCACAACCTAGGTATATGCCCTGACCAGGAATCAAACTCACAACCTTTTGGTGTATGGGATGATACCCCAACCAACTGAGCCACCTGACCAGGGCATGACTTTCATTTTTGATGAATGCTTCCTATGAAATATTAAGAATTATATGTAGCCCAGTCAGTGTGGCTCAGTGATTGAGCATCGACCTATGAACCAGGAGCTCACATTTGACTTTGGTCAGGGCACATGCCCGGGTTGTGGGATCAATACCCAGTAGGGGGCATGCAGAAGGCCACCAATCAATGATTCTATTTATTGATGTTTCTATCTCTCTCTCTCCCTCTCTTTCTCTCTGAAATAAAAAAAATATATTTTAAAAAATGATTCTATGTAGAGCCTAGGAGTGCCTAGCACTTGTGCATTACTGCTGTTTCCATTTGACAATCCCCATTCATATCAAGACATCTTGCTCACTTGTTTTTTAAAACAACAGGAGCCCTAGCTGGTTTGGCTCAATGGATAGAGCATCAGCCTGGGGACTAAAGGGTCCCAGGTTCGATTCCAGTCAAGGGCACATACCTGGATTGTGGGCTCGATCCCCAGTAGGGGGGCGTGCAGGAGGCAGCCAATCAATGATTCTCTCTCATCATTGATGTTTCTATCTCTCGCTCCCTTCCTAACTGAAATCAATAAAAATATATATTTTTAAAAATGTATAGGAATGCATTTTAAATAATGAAATTAAAGGAAATTAAAAAATAGGAGTTCAAACATATCACTATAAAGTAACACATTTAAATGATTCATTTGTGGGTTTTTGGGTTTTTTTGATCCTCACCCGAGGATATTTTTCCATTGATTTTTAGAGAGAGTGGAAGAGAGAGGGAAAGACACAGAGAAATACTGATGTGAGAGAAGCACATTGATTGGTTGCCTCCTGCACAAGTCCTGACCAGGGTCCGGACTGGGGAGGAGCCTGCAACAGAGGTTATGTGCCTTTGACTGGAATCGAAACTGGGACCCTTTGGTCCACAGGCCAATGCTCTATCCACTGAGCCAATCCGGCTAGGCCAGTGGTCAGCAAACTCATTAGTCAACAGAGCCAATTATCAACAGTACAACAACTGAAATTCCTTTTGAGAGCCAAATTTTTTAAACTTAAACTATATAGGTAGGTACATTGTTATTAACTTAATTAGGGTACTCCTAAGCTGGCCTTTGCTAAAAACGTCCTCAACCTGATTGAGGTATGTTCGCTGAGGTTGATCCCTTCCAACTCTCCCATCCACACTCGTCTTGGCTCCTTGTTTCAGATAGATGAGTGTGGATGGGAGAGTTGGAAGGGGTCGACCTCAGCGAACGTACCTCAAAACAGTGTACCTCCCCCGCACTGCGTATCCCGCAGCCCGCCTGCGCCCGCATCTCCCATCACCCACCCGACCGACAGCCCCCACTTCTTCTAACGCTTCTTCAAAATAGACTCGCCCAGGCCGAAAACCGACTTCTGCGCATGGGCCACGAAGTTTCAATCGCACTGTCCGTGCGCACCCGCACATGGTATTTTGTGGAAGAGCCACACTCAAGGGGCCAAAGAGCCACATGTGGCTTGTGAGCCGCGGTTTGCTGACCACTGGGCTAGGCCGTTTATTTGTTGTTGTTTTTAATATAATCATCATATTCATTTTTTAATCTTTTGAAGTCAAATTTATTGGGGTGACATTGGTTAATAGGAGCATACAGGCTTCAGGTGTGCATTTCTTTGTTACAAGATCTGTATATCGCACTGTGTGCTCACCACCAAAGTCAAATCATCTTCTGTTACCATGTAGGACCCTACCCACTTCCCTTTGGCAACCACCATACTGTTGTCTATGTCTATGATTTTCAGTTTTATATCCTACATATGAGTGAAAGCATATGGTGCTTAGCTTTTTCTGCCTGACTTATTTCACTTAGCACAATATTCTCAAGGTATATCCATGTGGTTACAAATGGCAGTATTTTATCCTTTCTTATGGCTGAGTAGTATTCCATAGTATAATATGTACCACATCTTCTTTATCCAATCCCTACTGTAGGACACATTGGCTGTCTCCATGTCTTGGCCACTGTGAACAATGCTAATCAGCATATTCTTAAAACTGTTTTAAATGTTACCTGCATTGCATTTAAACTGATTATTGTTCCATTACCTTACATGACAATTATCCTCTTTCTGACTAGTCTTCAAAATGGCTACCACTCCTATTTTGTTTCTTTGCTTTGCCTTGCCCCTTTCCTCTCTTTCCAAGCTGTTACCAATCTATGTACATAAAAGGCTGTGTCCATCCATCCAACTGGTAGCTATGACATGCACTGACCACCAGGGGCAGATGCTCAACGTAGGAGCTACCGTGACACACACTGGCCATTTAAAAATAAATGGCACCATGGACCTGGCACTGACAAACCAACACACGGCTTCCCCCGAGTGGGACACAGGCCCCGCCACCAGCCCAGAGCAACACCCCACCAAACCGCAGCCAACGCTGCCAAGAACCCATGGCGCAAAATGCGGCCCACTGCCTAGCCCAGCCCAGAAACAGTTGCTGTGGGTGCCAGGTAATGACGTCACATAGCAACTAGCCTCCTTGGAGTTTCTTCAGCCCAGGAACCTGACTTGCTCTATAGCCAGGTGCAAATATTTTACAGTTTATCCAAATGTTTGTGAAGCATTTTCCTGTACCTCATCTCATTTGATCCTCACAGAAGTCCTGGAGTAAGAAGATAGGAGACTCGGTAGAATCTATTTTCTTTTCATTAGCAAGACATGAATAGCAATATTAAAATATTTATTCTAATTAATTTCCTTCAATGTGCACAAATCTGTGCACTGAGACACTAGTTTACTTATAGTCACATATTTCAAGAAAACCTAAGGGGTTTTATGAAATATGTATTGTATAACATGTACAAATTTACCCATAAATTCAAGAACTGATTTCTGAATATAGATTTTCTTAAAGTATGACATACTTTATAGGTTTAAAAAACCATCTTTTAAAATCCTTTTAAAATGAGATACAGTATAAATAAACACAAAATACTTTCAAAATCCATTCAGAATACTAAAAAAAAAATGGCCATTTACCTAAAAAATTGCCCTAACTGGTTTGGTTCAGTGGATAGAGCGTCGGCCTGCGGATTGAAAGGTCTCAGGTTCGATTCCAGTCAAGGACATGTACCTTAGTTGCAGGCACATCCCCAGTAGGGAGTGTGCAGGAGGCAGCTGATCGATGTTTCTCTCTCATCGATGTTTCTAACTCTCTATCCCTCTCCTTTCCTCTCTGTAAAAAATCAATAAAATATATTTTTAAAAAATTACTTCATCTGAGAAGTAAAAAGAAATGGGTATCTAAGCAAGGAATAGTAGATAAAATGGGTCAGAAAACTATACATGAAAGGAATAGACTGGTTGTCCACAGGTTCACAGACACAAACATTTCCAGGTCATCTTTCAATTAATACTTTGGTGCAGATATTTACCTCTTAAGTAATGAATGATATATGAACTTTTCAATTCCCTTTAACGTTATTTTGTAAATAGGCTTTTGACTAAATTTACAAAAAGACATGTAAGTGGCCAGTTCAATTCTCAATGGACTGACTTTGTTTGTGCTGGTCTCTGTAAAGGCAGCCTTAATGAGCAACAGTCCAAACAATTACTAATAAATACAAAGTTCCCTCACATTTATACAAAGAACTCCTGACATATAGCTAAACAACACGTCTTTAATTGGGAATTAGATGTCCCTCGAGCCAGAAGACCACAATTCCAGAGTTTTCTGCTTGAGAAAAATAAATTTTTAATTAACAGCAAAAAAAGGCATATATACACTTTTCCTTGACAATCTTTTATGGGGGTTTTTGACCATGTAAATAAGGCTTTTGATGGAAATAAATATTCACAAGATCCTTCATTTAAAAACAATATAGACAGCCTTTCCAGTGTTGCTCAGTGGTTGTGCATTGGCCCATAAACCAAGAGGTCAACAGTTCAATTCCAGGTCAGGCACGTGCCTGGGTTTTGGGCTCAATTCCGGAGGCAGCCGATGGATGTTTCTCTCTCATTCATGTTTCTATCTCTCTATCCCTCTCCCTTTCTCTCTCTAAAAAAAATCAATTAAAATATATTTATAAAAATATATATAGACAAATACTTATACTACTACATTATGCTTTTTAAAAAAGACACGTGCACATGCACACACACGTGTGCATGCAAAACTCTTCAATAATGAATGGATTGAGGCTATCTGCAAAAATATGAAGCTGTGTCATTTCCCTCTATTGCCAAGGCTGTTTCTTATTAGTCCCCATTTTATGGAGTAACAAGGGAACAGATATCATAAAAAGAAAAGAAGGTTATTGATATCTCAAGCTCATGCAAAAATACCTGATTTTCAAAACAGCTTTATGGACATGGATATATTTCCCATCAATTCTGAACTTTAGGTCAGCAGTTTCTGGACTGTCAAATTCTTTCTTCAGGGACTCTGCAACTGTTAAAAAATCTTCATGCTCTGAAGGCAACAAACACATTATAAATACAAAAAACTCAGGAAACATACTCAAGATTTAATAGACTTCAAAAGATAATCATTAACACGAGGGGGATAATTCCATCTGCCTTTTTTTCAAAAGAGATCATGCCTTACTTGACAAATCCATTTCACAGTATGAAAATAAGTATCTGAGTGTATAAACTACAAAAAAACACATGTTTAGTAAGATCAAATACTAGTCTTACATACTATTAGTCCTCAGAAATGTATACATTTTTAAAAAAAGAAAAAGTTATAGGTAGTCCATGATTACATAACTATTTGGTCAAAACTTGAGTGACTCTCTTCCAGGGCTAAAAACGTACCAATTTTCCTTGACTGGAATGTTAAGAACACCTTTGCCCAGCTTTGGGGTAGTTTCAAGGGGTTACTATATTCTAATCAAAGAATCCCAAGAAACAAACTCACCATTACGTGGTAATACTAAGCAGTCATATTCTTACATAGAGAAACCCCTTTTCTTCGGTATTTAGAATCTAAACATCCCTCTTAACCATAAGAATTAATGTACAAAAAATAATCCTTACACACTATCTAAAAACAAAGCAAATTTTCTTAATAACAATGATACTCAAAGGCAACAGTTTTACAAAAACGTGATCTCATTGCCTGATGAGAAGAACTGCTGTTATGATTACAGGTAGATCTATTATTATAAAGGAAAAACAGTAAAGGCACTTGGCCCGGCTGGAGTGGCTCAATGGTTGAGCATTGTCCCATGCACCACAAGGTCGCTGGTTCAATTCTTGGTCAGGGCACATGCCTGGGTTGCAGGCTCAATCTCCAGCAGGGGGCATGCTTGGGACAGCGATCTATGTTTCTCTCTCATTGATGTTTCTATCTCTCTACCCCTCTCCCTTCCTCTCTCTCTAAAATAAATTAAATAAGGGGCAGAGAATCTGTCAACCTCCCCCCTCCCATCAAAATCACCAAGGCCTCAGCCCCCTTCATCACCATTTGCCCCTCTCCAATTCCCTCACCCCTGAGAAAAAAGAAAAAAAGAACAAATATATAAAGCCACTTGTACAAATCCATGTAATACTTTCTTGTGTTTTATATGCATGGACAAAGAAAAACAAGTAGAAGGCTAACAGGGACCCGCATCAGCACTGAATGCAGGTTCAATGGACAGAGACAGGTTCTGACTGCCCACAAAGATAAGAATGGTGACTTCATCAAATAACTGAGCTATGTCTCTCAGGAGCCTGGTGTTACCAAGGGAATGCTTAGAGGAGGGACAACTCCTAAAACCTAGGCTAAACCTAACAAATGAACTTATCCATGAGCTTTATCATCAGAATCTCCCAAGGAAATATCATTTGCCTGAGCCCTGTTACCTTAACCTAGCACACACATAATGCAGAGCTCTCTTGGCTATGGAGGGAAGGTCAACAATCTCTCAAAAATCAAGTTGCCCTTGACCCTATAACAGTGAGTAAAAAAAAAAAAAAAAGGGGGAAATCACTAAAATAGATAGAGAGTCCAGTAGTCTAGATTGCTACTTCACCCATCCCCAAACGAGCTTCTTATCAATGCCTCCACTTCTGAATCTAGTAGTCAGGGTTGAAATACACCTTTCCTCCTCTTAATTCCTGGCAACAAGTATACCTTCTTTCACAGAAGAAATATTCTTCTGAGGTGTGAATTCACCAACTGACTTTCTTCCTATCGCTCAGCTGAAATAATAAATTGAGAGGGAAAAAAAACCTCAGACTTACTGGGTAGAGGGAAAGAAGTCATCAAAGTAATATATTCAATGACCACATTTTTTTCCCAAGCTTAACATTAAAAAATGTTAGGATGTTCTAAAAAGGATGCCTTTTCAGGATCGGGATTTTTAAGATACAAAAACCTGAGGAAGCTTTTTATAACAGGCCCAGGTTAAGTAGTATATGAGAATCTGAAGATGTGGACAGAGTGCTTTGGTGTGACACACATATGTGATTATGGCCAAATAGTCCCATCTGTGAACTAAATTTTTCTTTGCTTTTTTATTTAATTTGCTGGGGTGACATTGGTTAACAAATTATATAGGTTTCAAGTGTATAATTCTATAATACATCATCTGGATACTGTATTGTATTCACCACAAGTCAAGTCCCCTTCCATCACCATTTATCCCCCTTTTATCCTCTTTCACCTCCTCTGACACCCTATCCCTCTGGTAATCACCTTATCTACAAGTTGTTGTTTTGTTCTTCTTTTTAAGAGAGAGAGAAAGGGAGAGGGAGAGAGAAAAATATTGATGTGAGAGCACATCGATGGCCAACTCCTGTATGCCTCCCACCAGGGGATCGGGACCACAACCTGGGCATGTGCCCTTGACCAAACTGGAGACCTCCTAGTGCATGGGACAAAGCCAACTGAGCCACACTGGGAAGGGCTGTAGTTTGTTTGTTGCTTAATCCCTTAAACTTTTTCACTCATCCCCAAAAATCCCCTTCCCTCTGACAGCTTTTGGCTGTTCTCTCTCTATGAGTCTGTTTCTATTTTGTTAGTTTACTTTGTTCAGTCGATTCCACACGAGTGAACTTATTTCACTTAACATAATGCTCTCCAGGTCCATCTATGCTGTCGCAAAGGGTAAGATTTTCTTCTTTTTCATGGCTGAGTAGTATTCCATTGTGTAAATGTACCATCGCTTTTTCAAAAATCTTTATTGTTGAGAGTATTACACATGTCTCTCATTTCCTCCTCCACTGCCCCCCTCGACCTGGTTCCCGCCCCACCCCAGGCCTTCACCACCATATAAGTCTGTGTCGTTAGGTAATTCATATGTGCATATAAGTTCTTTGGTTAATCTCTTCCACCCCGCTTTCCTCTGAGATTTGTCAGTCTCTTCCATGTTTCCATGCCTCTGGCTTTATTTTCTTCACCAGTTTATTTTGTTCATTAGATTCCTTCTTTGTTTCTTCTTTCTCTTCTAAAAGAACACCCTTCAAGCCCAGCCAGCATGGCTAAGTGGTTGAGCGTCGACCTATGAACCAGATCATCATTGTTTTCTCGGTCAGGACATATGCTTGGGTTGTGGGCTTGATCCCCAGTGTGGGGCCTGCAAGAGGCAGCTGATCAATGATTCTCTCTCATCATTGATGTTTCTCTCTCTCTCTCTTCTTCTCCCTTCCTCTCTGAAATCAATAAAAATATATTTAAAAAAAGGGAAAAAAAATAATACCCTCCAACATTTCATTTATTACTGGTTTGGTGGTGATGAACTCCTTTAGTTTTATCTTGTCTGTGAGCTCTTTATCTGACCTTCAATTCTAAATGATAGCTTTGCTGGGTAATCTTGACTATAGGTCCTTGCTATTCATCACTTTGAATATTTCTTGCCACTCCCTTCTGGCCTATAAACTTTCTGTTGAGAAATCAGCTGACAGTCATATGGGTGCTCCCTTGTATATAACTAACTGCTTTTCTCTTTTGCTGCTTTTAACACATTGCGTACTGCATAGAAATCTCTAAGACATACGCCAGGGACCGCACGTTTTTGGGCAAACTGCACATTATTTAAATCATCATAATGCACTTTAGGTGTTGTTTTTCAATAATTATAACATTTTTATTTACAAAAACAATTAAACAATTAAAGTTCCTAGTACTTTTTTAATGTATGGTACTGTGTAAAACATTTTCCTCTATGAAGAGGGACCAAACAAAATTTACATAAGTATCTAGATTCGCTCCTTTTTCCATGGGCATGAAAAACGAGAACACTCGTGAGCGGTCCTTAACAGATGGCGCGCGAAACACGAGAAAACTCCTGAGCGGTACGAAATGTGTTAAGATTCTCTCTTTGTTTTTAAATTTTGGCATTTTAATTATGATGTTTTTGGTGTGGGCCTCTCTTTGCTTCCTGGACTTTAAGTCTGTTTCTTTCACCAGGTAGGGGAAATTTTCTGTCATTAATTCTTCAAATAGGTTTTCAATAACTTGCTGTCTCTATTCTCCTTCTGGCACCCCCATAATGCAAATGTTGGTACGCTTGAAGTTGTCCCAGAGGCTCCTTATACTATCTTCATATTTTTTAATTATTTTTTCTTTTAGCTCTTCTGATTGGGTGTTTTTTGCTTCCTCATATTCCAAATCATTGATTTGATTCTTGGCATCTTCTACTCTACTGTTAAATCCCTGTAAATTACTCTTTATTACAGTTAGTCTATGCTTCATTTCTGACTGGTCCTTTTTCATGTCTCTGAAGTTCTTACTAAGTGCCTTGAACTCTCATTAAGACCCTTGAGCATTCTTATAACCATTGTTTTAAACTCTGCATCTAGCAGTTTGTTTGCTTCCACTTCATTTAGTTCTTTTTCTGGATATTTCTTCTGTTCTTTCATTTGTGATATGTTTATTTGTCTCCGCATTTTGGCTGCTTTCCTGTGTTTGTTTCTATGTATTAGGTAGAGTTGCTACGTCTCCTGGAATTGGCAGAATCCCTTGTGTAGTAGGTGTTCTGTAGAGCCCAGTCACCTGCGTTAGACACTCCAAGTGTACCCCTGTGTGGGCTGTGTGCATAGTCTTGTTGTAGTTGAGCCTTGATTGATGTTGGTGTCACTGGGAGGAAATGACCTCCAGGCCAATTGGCTGTGAGGACCAGTTGTGACTACAATGGAAGAGCTGCTGTGCAGGAGACACCCCATGGAGCAGGACTTGCTTCAGTGGGGCTTTGGTGCTCACTGAGTCTGCTCCTTGAATGTGTCACTTGTGGATGCGTAGAGCTGTAATCTGGTATGGTCTGAAGCTGTCCACTGGGTGCACTGGCTCTGGTGCCTCCCAGGAGGTACAAAGTCAGTCACTGCCTGGGGCCACCCAGCAGGAGCTACAGAGCAATCTGCAGATGGCTGTGTTTGTGTTGGGCTTGGAAGTGCCCAGGAGAGGCCAAGCTGTGAAGCAAGGTAGGCTGCTGCTAGTGCCAAGACTGGGCCTCTTATTGATAGGTTTGGGGCACACTCACTCGAGCTGCTGCTTGTTTGAGATTTTTGGAAAGTCTAAAGCCTGAGCCAGGACAGGCCATTCATAAGGAATAGTCATTGCAAACAGCTTGGGTGGGGCTGCAAATTGGATGGGGTGGGGTCTCAGGGAATCACCAGGGCAGAGTGAAGTGTGAGCCAGGTTGGTGGAGCCTCAGATATGGCACCTGCAAATCAGCCCTACGCCTGGGGATGTCTCAGCATAGGAACAATGAATCCCATGAGCACCCCTGCTGCCAGACAATCCAGTTTTCCTCCCCATATGTCCTTGGATTCCTCAAGCCACTGCCTCAACGCTGGAGCTCAGAGAGAGTGAGTCCAAGTAAGTCCATGCACCAGCCCTTTAAGAGACTACTGGGACTCCGGCAGTCTCATCACTCAGCCACAAAAAAAATGCCCACTTGTCTTTACAGCCCAAAGTTAGGGGACTTGTCTTCCCAGCACTGGAACCCTGGGCTGAGGGGTCTGGTGTGAGGCTGGGACTCCTTACTCCTTACAGGAGGCCTCCACAGTCGAGATATCCCTCCTGATTAAAAAAATGCCACACATGGGTGTCAGACTAGCCCATTCCGTGCCTCCGCCCCTCCTATTAGTTTCAATGTGCTTTTTTCTTTAATTCTCCAGTTGTGGCACTTCCATTTAGTCAGATTGCAGGCGGTTCTGAATGATGGTTGTCCTGTGTTTTAGTTGTAATACTGATGTGGTTGTGGGAGGCAGCAAGTATTGGAATTTATCTATGCCACCATCTTGGTTCCATCAATTATCAGATTTTTTATCTACTTATCTACTGATGAGCACTTGGGCTGTTTCCAGATCTTAGTTAATGTAAATAATACTGCCATGAACATAAGGGTGAACATATATGCTTTGATTGGTGTTTAACAATTCTTAGGATATATTCCCAGAAGTGGGATCACTGGGTCAAAAGGCAGTTACATTTTTAATTTTTTGAGGAAACTCCATACTGTTTTCCATAGTGGCTACACCAGTCTGCATTCCCACCGACAGTGCAACAGGGTTCCCTTCTCTCCACATACTTGCCAGCCCTTATTTCTGTTGATTTGTAGACGACAGCCATAGTGGCAGGTGTGAGGTGATACCTCATTGTCATTTTAATTTTCATCTCTCAGATGATTAGTAACATTGATTATTTTTTCATATTCAACTGGTCATCTGTATGTCCTCTTTGGAGAACTGTCTATTTAGGTCCTTTGCCCATTTCTTTTGGGTTGTTTGTATTCCTGGTGTTGAGTTGTGTAAGTTCTTTATAAATTTTGAATATTAATCCCTTATCAGATATATCATTGGCGAATATGTTTTCCCATTCAGTATGTTGTCTTTTCATTTTTTTGATGGGTTCCTTTGCTGTGCAAAAGCTTTTTATTTTGATGTTGTCCCATTTGTTTATTTTTATTTTGACTCCCTTGCCTGAAGCTATATATCAGAAAAAAATACTGCTTCAAGAAATGTTCAAGATTTTACTGCTTGCTTTCTTCTAGGATATTTATGGTGAACTTAATTTTTCTAATCACAACATTCACTGTAAAGCTTGCTTTATTACAAAATATATATGAAAATGTTCAATGTTTCGCTTTAAGTTGAGCAGCAGCTTAACTCTTCTTAAACATATTCCTGCCTGGCGCCATTTTGGGGCTCAGCCATCTGGTATCCAGGTGACCTAAAAACTGGTCACCTGATGATGGGACAGCTCCCGCTGTCTGACACAGCTCAACATGACATGTGTTATAAGACTAGCCTTCAGTATCAATTGCTGAGTAACCCAAACCCCTTGGTGGTCAAGAGCTATGCTAATGTTCAAACACGAGGCATCATGACCTAGTTATTTTCTCTTCATTTTAACAATAGAATAACTTAGAAGAAATACATTTGCAAAAAGGCAGAAATGAACACAAAATAACATTAAAAGATTAAAATATCTTACAGCTCCTCAGCTTTATGACAACTTAATACTTTCGACCAATAATGAACTCTTAAAGGAAATAGTATTCAGAAAATGGACAGGTTATGTAACCAAAAAACACCTTGAATTCCACTACCCTTTCAAACACCACAGTTTTGATGCCCTTCTAAAATAAAAGTATTTGAGACTGGTTGTAAGAAAAAGGGAGAAAGAAAGATTAAAACACCACCTTAAAAAACCACAAGTTCTTCAGTTTTTTAAAAATTCAATTTTGTATCACATTATATTGAATTATGTAATAAATCAAGTATTAGTATAAGAATAAAAGCACTTAGGAACAGGTTACTCAAACAAATATTTGTACATGAATGTTCATAAAAACATTTTTCACAATATTTAAAAGATAGAAACGATCCAAATATACATCAATAAACAAATACATGAAATGTGGTGTATACATACAATGGAATACTATTCACCTATAAAAAGGAATGAAGTACCGATAAATGCTACAACATGAATGAACCTCAAAAGCATTGAGTAAAAGAAGCCAGACATAAAATGTTGCATATTGTATTATGCTATTATAAAATATCCAAAATAGAAAAATGCATAAAACAAAAACCAAATTGGCCAGTGGCTGGGGAGAGAAGGGAGAATAGAGAGTGGCTGCTTACTAGGTACAGGGTTTTCTTTTAGGGTGATAAAACTGTTTTAGAACTTGATATTAATGGTGGTTGCACAACACTGTGAATGTGACAAATGACTCTGAATTAAAATGGTTAATTTTATGTGTATGTATTTCACCTCAATTAAAATGAAAGCACTTAAGGGGAGAAAATAATCCATAAAATGTTTCATAACATATTAATAAATTTTATTATGCAAATCTAATTTGAGGAAAGATATTAAATTTAATAAAAAATAAAACATTCTAGAACCTAAAAAAGCCCACAAACAGGAAATATGCAAACAAACTGGTCAGCTGATGGGACTATTTTTCCTGGGTGGAAATAGCCCTGAGCTTTCTTACCTACAGAGAGGAGGCGCCAGGAGACGGCGGGAGTGGCAAAGCAGGCAAACACGTCGTCTGTGCATGAGAGGTGGGTGAGGTGAGGCAGGACCACGGATTGGCCCCGGCACTGGCCCCACATGTACACGTGCCCTCCCTGGGTCTTGGCAGCAGATGTGTGGGCAGAGTGGCAAGCTGCAATTTCTACTACTCTGAAAAATTTTAAGAAAAATGGATGTCACGTCTATACTACAAAAGCCCACAACATATCACATAAAGTAAGTAAAAAGTTCATGCTTAGAACACCTCAAAAAATAACTCAAGACTGAGAAACATTAGCTATCATGTCCTGTAGACAAAACCAAAAGATCAGAGCAAGAGTACTGTATTTCTCCTCTCCTGAGTGCCCCTAACTTCTCATCCTAACCTCTTTCTAAGATAAATAATGCATAACTATTGAGGAAAACTTGGAAAAAGGGAACAGAAACCTGTTAGGGTCGCCAAAAGAGGAACGCACACGAGGCCAAAGTGGTAAGGGGTTATATATTTACTAGAGGCCCGGTGCACGAATTCATGCACGGGTGGGGTCCCTTGGCCTAGCCAGCAATTGAAGCCTATCGGGGGGCCGGCTGGCAGGGGGAGGGACCCCGGAAGGCTGACCGTTGGGAGGAGGGGCTGGGAGAGGTTGGCTGGCCAAGGAAGAGAGGCCACGGGAGGTTGGCCAGCCAGGGTGGGGAAGGGGCCACAGGAGGGGCTGCGGGAGGTTGGCCGTGGGAGTGTACTGATCACCAGGGGGCAGCTCCTGGGTTGAGCATCTGCCCCCGATGGTCAGTGTGCATCATAGCGACTAGTGGACCAGTTGTTCCGGTCATTCGGTCGTAAGGGTCGCTTACGCTTTTATATATATAGACTAGAGGCCTGGTGCACAAAAATTTGTGCACTTGGGGGGGAGGGAGGGCCTCAGCCCGGCCTGTGCCCTCTCGCAGTCTGGGACCCCTCGGGAGATAATGACCTGCTGGCTTAGGCCTGCTCCCAGGTGGCAGAGGGCAGGCCCAATCCCTAGGTGCAGCCCCTGGTCGGGCTCAGAGCAGGGCCGATTGGGGAGTTGGGGCGCCGCCCCTGTCATGCACAGAGCAGGGCGGATTGGGAGGTTGCGATGCCACCCTCAGTCACACTCAGGGTAGGGCCGATTGGGGGGTTGGGGCACCGCCCCCTGTCACACTCAAGGCAGGGGCGATGGGGAGGTTGCAGTGCCACCGCCTGTCACGCACAGAGCAGGGCCAATCAGGGGGTTGGGGCGCCGCCACTGTCACACTCAGGGCAGGGCCGATGGGGAGGTTATGGCTCTACCCCATCACACACAGAGCAGGGCCTGTGGGGTGGGGGGTGGGGCGCCATCCTCTATCACCCACAGAGCAGGGCCAATCAGGGGGTTGGGGCGCCGCCACTCTCACACTCAGGGCAGGGCCGATGGGGAGGTTATGGCTCTACCCCGTCACACACAGAGCAGGGCTGATCAGGGGGTTGGGGAGCCTTCCCCTGTCACGAACAGAGCAGGGCGGATAGGGAGGTTGTGGCCCCGCCCCGTCACACACAGAGCCGCAGGGCGATCAGGGGGTTTGGGCGCTATCCTGTCATGCTGATCCCGGTGCCGGGAGGCCTTGCGGCTCCACTGATCCCGGTGCTGGGAGGCATATTACCCTTTTACTATATAGGGTAGAGGCCTGGTGCACGGGTGGGTGCCAGCTGGTTTGCCCAGAAGGGTGTCCTGGATCAGGGTGGGGGTCCCCACTGGGGTGCCTGGCCAGTCTGGATGACGGGATGATGGCTGTTTGCAGCTGGTCACACACCCTTCAGGGTGGGGGTCCCCACTGGGGTGCCTGGCCAGTCTGGGTGAGGGGCTGAGGGCTGTTTTCAGGCTGGCGGGTGACTGAAGCTCCCAACCGCTCCTTTTTTTCTTTTTTTTATTCTGGGCCAGCTTTAGCTTTGAGGCTTGGCTCCAGCTCTTAGGCCTCCGCTGCTGAAAGCAGGTTTCTGGCCTTTGTTTACCTTCTGTATTTGAAACAATGTTGTGATCCTGCTGGCTGAAGCCCGATGGACTAAAGCAGGTTTCTGGGGTTTTGTTTAGCTTCTATATTTGTAACATAGTTGCTTAGAGTTGCAGCTCAGAGGCCGGCAGCGGCCGGCGGGGAACGTTGGAGTCCTCCATCACTGAAGCAAGCAAGCCTCATGTTAGTTTCAAGCTGCCTGGCTGCCGGCCGCCATCTTGGCTGGCAGTTAATTTGCATATTGCCCTGATTAGCCAATGGGAAGGGTAGCGGTCGTACGCTAATTACCATGTTTCTCTTTTATTAGATAGGATTAGGTCATCTGGGTAACAGATGGGCTGGCGCCATTTCGGGGCTCAGCCCATCTGGTATCCAGATGACCTAATAAATGTATAATCCCTTACCAATGTCCACTGTGAAGTGGCCTAAAAGTCAGTTCCCAGGGGAGAGAGTACTGATTCAATTATTTGATCAGACCTAACAAAACCAAAGTAAATGAGTAAAGTGGACTCTGACAAAATGTGCTGACGCTGATGGTTGTAGCAGCTTAAACTGTAGCAAAAAAAAAAAAAAAAAAAAAAAAATACTGTCTTCAATATGGTAATTTCCTTTCAAATACAACTTTTTCTCTCATCCCTAACAGAGCTCACAACACTCATTAGGCTGATAAGCACTGATCTAGGGGTCATGAACTCTGAACACCCAAAGCCAAATGGACATCAAGCCAAAGCTACTCCATTTCTCAGACAGCTTCTTAGGCAGGGACCCAGAATCAGAAGTCGACATTCTAAAACTTAGCAAGTAAAACCTCAGAATTTGGCTGAATAAACACTAAGCATCTATTCCAGTAACACACATTACATCAAATCAATATTTAAACAGATAATGACCTTTCAAGGGCAGATTTTATTTATTTAGATGTTGTTTTAGTTGGCTCAACAGAAAAGTTTGTACTTCAACATGGTGACAGACATTATTTTACTTCCCTACTAAATGGGCAACAAGAAGTGTGTAGGAATTATACCAGGATGTATTAATGCCTATCAATCAGGAGGTTATTTTAGAAAGCTCATAAGAATCATATCAACTTTATGCTCATTCTAGTTGGTACTACAACTCTTTGTTTCTTTGTTCAAAATTAGAATGTTAATAAACAAGAGTTACAAAGCCAAACACCACAGCTCCAGCACACACAGTCCTAAGTCCACAATGCACACACAACCCCAAGACATACTACAGCCAAGTTACCTTTCTTTCTCCACCATGATGTGTGTTGGGCTTAGCAGGTTATTTTTATTGCCAGTTCCAAGCTGCCCATACGTGTTAGCTCCCCAGGCATAGAGCAAGCCCTCATCTGTTAGTGCTAGAGTGTGTGCATAGCCGCAGACAATCTGCAAGTAAATTTAAATGATTACCATAAACAGGAAAACAGGAAGGACAGGGAAAACATCTACTTAAAGATTACAGCCAGCTTCTACAGAATGCCAATTCATCATCACGTGTGGAGTAACATTCTCTGAAACATTAAAACAACATTAGGAAAGCCTAAACCTGAGACTACTGAATTTTTCCAATCTTTATTTTTACTCGTCAATACTGATGTGCTACTACCATGGTGTTCCTTTTCATCATCAGAATTTAGGGAAGATATAATATTGGACGTGAAAGACTCAGGGACAGAGTATTACCCTAAAATATTTATTGACAAGTAAATTTCCAATATTCCTCCAAGTCAGAGCAGGGAAGCTAGATGGAGACCAGCAGCCAAGAGTCTACCACACATACCTGGTTCACGCACACACTGTGCAAAGCTGCCACTCGCACAGGGGTCAGCTGATTGACATTGTTTCCCAAGCCCAGCTGACCGTTGCCATTGTAACCCCAGCCATACACCTTGGAGAGAAAAAGGGAGAAAACGGGCTTTTTTAAAAGTGCTAATAAGAGGGAACAAATAAACAAATCAGTTACACTTTTTTCACTTCCAGCATCCATACTCTACTCTGTGTGATCCTACACTGACCTCCAAACAGATGTTTTAGGGGTGGGGAATGAACAGAATTTTGCATCAGTTCCTACTCCATAACTTACTAGCTGGATAATCTTGGGCATGTCATTAATCTTTGTTTTACACGTGAGGAAATTGAGGTTCATTAACAATTATTAAGCACCTACCTGTCAGGACCTTGTGAAAGGTACTAGGAATGCATCTTTAATCACAGTTTAACAGGGGGGATGAACTATGCAAATTTTCTCTAGCCAAGTGGCAATTGCTATAACAGAGATATAATCTAGGCACTGTAGGAGCAAAGAGGAGAAAGGATTTGGCTACAGAAAGAAAGTGAAGGAAAGACTTTTGAGAAAGTGGAGATTTGGGCAGAACTGAATGATGGATGAGGGGGAAGGTACTCCAGGTGGAGGACATAGAATGTGTTGGAGGCAGGTTCAGAAGACAAGTAGGTGGGCCTGACTGGACATACATGGGATAGTAGAAGGAGAAAAGACTAGAAGGAAAGGTAAGGGCCTAAGGGATAAAGTGTTAAAAAACATACCAGGGAAAGTGGAATGCTTCTATGGGTCTTTCACTGAAATATTTAAAAAAAAGAAATTAATATGCTTAAATTTTCATTTTGGAAAGATCATGCTGGCTGCAGCATGAAGGGGAACTGGAGTGGTTAGAAGGAAGAGGCAGGAAGACCAATCCTATATAATAAAAGGGTAATATGCAAATTGTCCCTCAACCGGGAGTTCAACCAGAGTTCGACCTGGGCGCGGGGTTGGCCCCGCCAACTGCCTGCAGCCCCTCCTCCTGGCCAGCCCCGCCCCCTCACCCCAGTTGGGGGCAGGGCCGGCCAGCCAACCTCCTGTGTACCCTCCCCCTGGCTGGCCCAGCCCAATCGGCCCCAATCAGGGCGGGCTGGCCGGACCCCATCCATGCATAAACTCATGTACCAGGACTCTAGTCAGTAGATAAATTGGTCTCTCTTTAGCAAACAGATGAGCTCTGATGGCATTCCAAGCCAACATAGTGGCAGAGGGATCAAGAGAGAGGGAATGGATAGGAACTAAGTTAAAGAGGGGGATGTGACAGAATGTGGTGATAGAGATGTGGAGTGAAAGGGGAGTCATCAGCTGAAAGTAGCAGGGTTGGGCATAGGTGTGACAGGACTGTTAGAAGTTTAGAATAGCCAGCGTGGGACATAGGAAAAACTATTGACCAGGAACAATAAAGGGTCTAGATCAAATCAGAAACCCAAGATGCGTGGTGGTACCACGCCCCATGGCAATGCAGGGCAAATAAGAACTGGGTGAGGCTTTCCTCCCCTGGCCCCCCCCCCCCCCAATCTTCACCCAAGGACATGCTTATTGATATAAGAGAGAGGGAAAGGGAAAAACATCAGTGTGAGAGAGAAGCATTGACTGGTTGCCTCCCCGTAGGCACCCTGACCGGGAATCAAACCCACAAACTAGGCACATGCCCTGACCAGGAATCGAACCTGCAAACTTTTGGTGTATGGGAAGATACACTAACCAACTGAGCCACACCAACCAGGGCAGCTAGGGCTTTTCAGGGCGATGTGACAGAGGGGAACAAGGGAACATGGACTTTTGGGTACTAGCAACATATGCTTAAAAAGCACTTTCAATATCAGAAGTGCAACAGGTTTGAACTTTCTGGAGATAAATATGGCAATAGACATCAAAAATTTTCATGACATACTCACTGACCCAGAAATCTTATTTCTGAGAACTTATTCTATAGAAATCCTTACCTAAGTGTACAAAGACACACACACACACACACACACACACACACAGAGTTACACAGAAAGTCAGTGCAACATTGTTTGTAGCAACAAAATATTAGAAACAATTGAAATGTCTATCAGTAGAGCTCTGGTCACCCATACAAGGAACACTAAGCAGCCATCTATATATATAAAAATCCAGGAACCGTAATGCTGTAACAGGAAGACCAGTCACTATAATGCCCACTGTGGCCAGCAAACCAGCAGATCAGGGGGCGGGGCCAGCTGGCCAACCTCCCGCAGCTCCTCCCCCCAGCGGGCTCCACCCCTATGGGCCCCCACAACCCTGATCAGCCTACAGCCTCTCCCCCAACCTGGCTCCAACCCAGATCGGCCCCCAACCCGGATCAGGGACAGAGCCAGATGGCCAACCACCCATGGCCCCTCCCACAGACCGATGGCCCCCAGTCGGCAACCCCCACCCGATTCGGGGGCAGGACCAGCTGGCCAATGGCCCACAGCCCCTCCCCATGGCCAGCCCCACCCCCAGTTGGCCCCCCAACCCTGATAGGGGGCGGGGCCCACCAGCCAAGCACCCGCAGCCCCTCCCCCCAGCCGGCCTGGCCCTAATCAAGCCCCAATCGGGGCAGGCTGGCCAGCCAATCTCCACCATCTCCTCCTCCCAACAGGCCCAGCCCCGATCTGCCCTGATTGGGGCCCGGCCGGCTGGACCCCACCTGTGCACAAATTCATGCACTGGGCCTCTAGTCTATATAATAAAAGCCCAGTGACCATTACAGCAGAACAACTGGAACGACCGGTTGCTATGACACGCCGGCCGCTGGGGCCACCACCACCACTGCTGCTGAGCCCGAGGGCCCCAGGGCCAGATGCATGGCCGCCGCCAACGTGCCAGTAAAGAAGAACACGAAGGTGGCCAGTGTGAGATGAAGGCTCTGTGGGATGAATTCAGTCAGCTGGGCACCAAGATGATCGTCATCAAGGCTGGCAGGTCAGGGCACCCCTCTCCTTGCTGCAACCCTCCCCACATGGTGCCAGTCTCAGGCAGTGGGCTTTGGCTCAATCCACACGAGCAAGACAGAAGCAGGGTGAGGGGGTGTGGCCTAGCCACCTGCAGGTCCAGCTCCTTTGTTCTCCATGTCCCGGCTCTAGTGACAGCCACCTGGCACGCCGGGCCAGAGGGTACTGCTTGGGAGGCCAGGAAGGTGGTGGAGAGAAACCCTGTGGACTGCCACCCAACCAGCAGCCCAGGACCCAGCACTACCAGAAACAGACTGGCTCAGAGCACACCGAGCTTGGAGGAAAGGCAGCCGCCTATGAGGGGCCTTGCCACCAGCCGGCTCCCGGTGGATCACACCTCAAAGGAAACTCGGTCTTTGGTTCCTTAGTTCAGTCTATCCCAGCTAAAGAGGAGCAACTGGGCACATTTTAGAGAAGAATTAAGACTCTAAAACAGTGTGTTCTGTTCTGTGGAGATTGCTACCCAGTTGTCTTAGGCCTAAATTCCGGGTGATTGTATTTGTTGTAAGGGCCCAAAGAGAAGAAGGGAATCAAGTTTTTTGATGCAATGTATTTGACCAACAGACCAAAGCAAGTGCCAGCTATGTCTAAGGTATACACAGAGACACCAGCTCTGAGTCCGCCTGGCCAAAGGGAACTCGGGCCCTGTTTGCAGAGCCTTCTGGTGGTTTCCGTTTCCTTGCTGAGGCTGTCCTCCCTGGGAACCCTGGGGCCCATGCTCAGCTCCAGCTCAGTGGGTCTTCTCCAGGCCCCGCCCCCCGGCCGGCCCCGCCCCTGATTGGCCCCCCCAACCCTGATCGGGGGCAGGGGGTGCCACCCGGCCAACTGCCCGTGGCCCCTCCCCCAAGCCAGCCCGCCCAATCAGCCCCAATTAGGGAGGGCCAGCCAGCTCCCACCCATGCACGAATTTGCGCACCAGGCCTCTAGTTAGTGTATAAAAAGCAGCTACAGATGGTCTGAGAATAGATTCAGGTATAACACATGTTGTTAGATAGGGAATTTACAGAATAACAGAGCAAAGTAGTAGGCATAATAATCCCATTCTTTAAAAAGGTAATTATATTTATCCATATATAATTATTTATAGAAGAAAGTCCAAAAGGATATACATCAAACTATTAACAAGATTGGAGAAAAGGTATTCACATTTTACTTTATATGTTTCATTTCATTTGTTTTCCTTTGTTAAAATAACCACATAATAATCTTCTTAAAATTAAATTTATTTTTAAAAAGGAAGTGAAGAATACTTCCTTCTTGGAATTCGAGATGTCATATGACTATCCCAAGGAATTCTAAGTCATCCAGGATATCAGGGTTGATTCCAAAAATAAATGAACACAGGGGAGCACTCTATCACCCAAGGCACGATTCCACATGTGTGTGCCCAAAAATGTATTTTTGGGTAATTTTTGTGTACTAAGTCATGCAGAGGTGGTGACAGGTCCATTTAAGTAGAAGTTGCAACCAGAATAATTTCTTAAAAATAACCATTCATTCGAAGGTGACCATGAGAGAGGGTCACTGAAAGGTGGGTTTTTAAAAGTAGCCAATGACAATCATGACAAAAAAGATTATGCTTTTGCAAGTTGCTTCTTCCTGTGAACAAACATTCCAGATATAGGCACGTAGTTCTACAGAGACAACATGCCCACTGGAGTCATCAACTGCCTATAAACATCACCAGCGAACTTCAAAAAGTGCACAATTGATTTTTTCATTGGAAGAATGAGGTATGTAAAATTTTAATTGGCTGATTAAATCGCAAACAAATATCTATAAACATTAAGCTACTTGGATCTTCCACAAAAATAAAATCAGACACATTAGAATCTTTACTTGCAGATAAATTAAAAAATTCACACTAAAGCCCTGGCCAGTATGACTCAGTTGACTGGAGCATAATCCTGTACACCAAAAGGCGGTGGGTTCGATTCCTAGTCAGGGCGTATACTCGGGTTGTGGGTTTGATCCCTGGTTGGGGTGAGTGTGGAAGATAACCAATCAATATTTCTCTCTCGCATTGATGTTTCTCTCTCTCTCTCTCTCTCTCTCTCCCCCTCTCTTCCCCCCTCCTGCCTTCCCTCTCCCTCCCTTCTCCCTTCCTCTCTCTAAAATCAATTAGAAACAAAATTCACACTGAGGAGCAAACATTCTCTGGTTACTCCTCAGTCAGTAACCAGTTAGCTATCAATGGGGTTATCAAAAAAAAAAGGACTCTTGCCTCCACAATCTAATACACGCACCTTATGAAAAAAAGACATTTCATTATAAGAAGAGGGGGGAGGAAAAAGGGGAATGCAAAGATAGCTCACCTCACCAGTGTCAAGAACAGCCATGGATGAGGTCTGACCACAGGCAATGCCTACTACCCTCTTAATATGTAAACAATTGGTAACTTTTCGAGGAGTTGGTTGATTTGCTGTAGATCCTGATCCCACCTGGCCACAGTTGTTATAGCCCCAAGCAAATACCTACACAAAAGAAGGGAGGGGGGGAGATAATGGTAAGGGTGAAAATTCTACAATCATAAATAAACCCACTTAACAAAGTACTTACAATGTGCTAAATGGCTGAGTGTTTTACTGCATTAACCTATTCAATCATCATAGTAACCTGTACTGTGACCCCGGGGTAGACACTATTACCATCCCCATTTTACACATGGAAATGGAAATGCAGAGAGGTTAAGTGATTTGCTCGAGGTTCCAGAGTTAGCAAGTAGTAGAAGTGGAAGTTGAACCCAACACAGTCCAGCTGTGCTCTTCACCACTACGCTGCATTGTCTCTATAATTATGGCAGCCATATATGTTTTTTAATCTGGCATCAATTAAAAATGAAGTATATGCTACATAAGTATCGTGACATGAAGAAAACCTGCTTAACTCTTTAGTCATAACATTTTTTTTATGGAAACTTTCAAAACCATACTATGCTTTTTCCCTGTCCAATACTGGACATTCATAACCTTTCCCAATGACCCAAGGCCATCATTATTATAATTATCAATCATAGTTCCACATCATAACATAGAAATGACCGGAAGCATTGCGGAGACATTTATCTCTACAGAAATGACACCAAGCTGTTAGTCTGTCTGTTCTTGCTAATAGTTCCTCTGCATCCTGCTTATTAATTTTGGCCTGTGATCTGCCATAACCTGAAACCGTCTTTCTAAGAAAGAGAGAGACATAAACAGATCTCTAAGCTGGTTAAAATCTAGTAACAAAGATGAAAAATAACCAAAACATCACTTCAGGTTAATTACCAAAACATTCTATCAAACAGGAGTGTGATCAGAGAGGAGAATTAGGGGAAGGGGAATTTTGGCAGTAGAGAAAATAAACTTCTACACTAGGGAACACTTCCTGAAAGTAGATTCACAGAAAAATATACATATACATATTAAAAAGAGGAAATATTCAAATTAGGCCAGGACGCCATAACAGGTCACGTCCGAACAGGAAGAGGTTGTGCGGGCAGGTGAGGTCTGGAGCAGAGACGGACGCTGAGATAGGGAAACTGGCAAGCTGCCCCGGCCCAGCTCAGGCCAGCCTCCCAGAGCTGGAGCCTGGAGTGGACACAGACAGGGACAGGGGGGCCGGCCCACAGCCTCCGCAGCCCAGCGCAGGCCCGCAGGCCCGGAGAGGAGACAGCGGGCCTGCCTCTCACGGAAGCAGTGCGGCTCCCTCCCACCTCCCAAAGAAGCAACGGGGCTCCCTCCGGGCTCCCATGGCCGCCAGCAGCTCACTTCCGCCTCCCGCCTCCCGCAGAAGCAGCGCTGCGGTTCCCATGGGCTCCCCCGGAAGTGGCGGGCAGCCTACTGCATGCAATATTGCACGATGGGCTACTAGTCTAGGATAATAATGCAAATATTTAGCACAATTATCCAAAGTAACATATGCTTAAGGTAAAAATTACCAGGAATCTAAACTGTACAAATTAGTAAGTTCCAATTTCAATAATCATTCTTCTGGCACTTCTCAAATATTCTAGTTCCCTTGCAATGCGACTGTCTTTTATTTTAAAAACTAGAGGCCTGGTGCACATATTCGTGCACAGGTGGGTCCTCGGTCTGGCCTGTGCCCTCTCACAATCCGGGACCCCTCGGGGGATGTCAGACTGCCAGTTTCGGCCTGACCTGTGGGGATCAGGCCAAAACTGGCAGTCCGACATCCCCTGAGGAATGTAGTAGTGTGTGAAGCAGCAGGCAGCTGGGGAGGAGACCAGGCACTGCATCGCTTCCGCTCATCCTGGCCCTGCTGGTGCCTGCCACCACCGCCACTCGGCAGCATGCTGCTGAGGAGGCGGGACAGGCTCGTGCAGCCGCAGCTGCGCTCACCATCTGTGAGCCCATGAGCCCGGCGTCTGGTGCTCCTCAGTCAGCTGAGCGGCACTCCTGCTGTGGGAATGCACTGACCACCAGGGGGCAGCTCCTGCATTGAGCGTCTGCCCCCTAGTGGTCAGTGCGCATCATAGTGACCAGTCAAATGTTCATTCAGTTGCTTAGGCTTTTATATATAGAGATGGGGATTGTAGTTCTACTAACCAAGAAGCAGACTAGGAAACAGTGGATTCTGGGGCATAATGCCTATATGCTAGCCTGGCTCCACCCCATCCCAGCTATGAAACCTTGATCTCCCTGAGCTTCTTTGGTTTCTCCATGCATAACACATCCTATGTAGTAAAATCACTGTAACACAATTGAAGAACTTTAAACAGGGAACAATATGACCTGCTTTGTGTTTTAGAAATCACAGGAGGTGGAGAAATAATACTAGACAGGTAGACCAATGAAAAAGCTGTGGAATAAAACATCAGAGTAACAAGGCCTGACCTAAGATTATGGAGACGGAGAGGAACAAAATGATATGAGATTAGAAAGTAGAGTCAACAGGATGAGTAACCTTTAAGATAAACATGGAATTTGTGGGGTAAACAAATAGTACAGCTCCTACTGGAATGTTGGTAAAGTTATTTTCTGACATCATTACATTTACTGAAAAGAAAAAAAAATACACCCTAAGGAATGGGGTAATTAAAAAAAAAAAGTACAGAACACTGTCATACACCTCTAATTTGTAGTATTAGTAAACAGCACGAGACGCAACTGCTTTAAGACTGAAATCTACCATCATCAAAGAGTGTTCCTGATCACATAATACAGGTTGTGTTAGAAAAAGAGTATGTTCCTACATTGTGTTTAGCTACACACACAGAGCTACTATGTTCACACTATACCAAATACAATGTGGTCGTTATATTTTTGGCACTTTCACAATAGTTAAAAGGTAGAAACAAGCCAAATACCCAGCAACAGATAAACAAATAAACAAAATGTGGCATGTAAATATAATGGAATATTATTTAGCCTTAAAAAGGAAGGAGATTCTGACACATGCTACCACGTGGATAAATCTTGAAGACATTTTGCTATGTTAAATAAGGTAGTCGTAAAAGGAAAAATACTGTAGATTCCATTCATAGGAGGCACCTAGAGTAGTTAAATTCATAGATACAGAAAGTGATTGCCAAGGGCTCAGGAAAGAAGAAATGGAGAATTAATGATTAACAGGTATAAAATTTCAGTTTTGCAAGATAAAAAGAGTTCTGTGGGTGAATGGCAGGGATGGTTACACAACAATGTAAGTGTAGTTAATGGCACTGAACTGTACACTTAAAATGGTTAAGATATCAAATTTTATATTATGTGTATTTTAGCACAATTTAAAAATAAAGAATAAAAGCAAGGTACTTACCTCTCCATCAGCTGCCAAAGCCACTGAATGATGGGAGCCACAAGCTACTTCAACCACTTGTTTGATCAAGAGATTGGTACAGACTTGGATGGGAGCAATGCCTTGGTTGGTTGTCCCATTCCCAAGCTGGCTATATCCATTGTGGCCCCAGGCGTAAACAACTCCATCTATAGAAGATGGCCACACACAAAGAATCAGCTCCAAGAAGAAATAGCATCCCCGTACTTTTCCCCCAGATTTTGCACAACTCATTCTCCTACCTTAATTTTTTCACATTGCCCTTCTCCCTACAAAGTAACCACTGATGAGGAGTGAGGGAAAGAGAAAATAGGATAGACAGATGCAAAATTGTTAAAGAAAGGACTAACATAGAAAGAAGATCAGCTTTGTGGTCAGAAGTCAGTTTATATATTAAAAAATTTGATCTTCTACACACTTTGAATCATCTCAATAGTTTCTGTGTCAGGTACCAAGCAAAAGGGAAAACACAGGAAAGTTCAATACTAATCTTTACCATCATTTTACCAAATGCCAAGTTTCATGGAACTGTGGGGGGGTATGTGTGTGTGTCACTCACTCACAAAGTATAGAGGAAAGAGGTGTACTACTTACAAGAGTTAAGAGGTGTACTTTTTGTATAAACTATACATAAAAATCACAGGCTTCTCTCAAACAGACTAGTGGCATAAAATCTGACTGAATTTTTTTTTTTTTACTTTATCTTTTGGGGATTCTGATAGAGGTCACTTGTCTGTTATCTGTCCCGGTCTGGAAGTATCATTGTTCCATGCATTTCCTCCCACAGCATGATGAGTATCAAGAGCAGATATCCCAGAGTTACACACTTTTCTCATGTCTTTCCATAGTAATAAAGCATCCTGACTTTTTAAGGACAATCTATGTCTGGCAACCACAAAATCCAAGAGAGACAGCAGAAATCCAAGTATTATTGTCAGGCTGCTGACTCACTGACAACAGTCCCCAAGCAATCAAGGACAGGCACTCATAGGCTTCTTACTATCTACTCTAGAGGAACTATAACTCAACAAAGTCAAAGTTCTCTTCCAGTACAAGCCAGATCTGGAGAACCTCTGATGTATGTCTCACAAATTTTTCCTTTGTAAATGTAACATAATGATAGTAAAATGCTTCAAGTTACTTTCTGGAGTGAGACAAATTGATTATAAAGTTCAATGGAAAGAACAAACAAGAAAAAACCCCGTTTTAAAAAGAACCTAGAAGGTAGCTAGCTCCATCAGTTATTAAGCTATAAGAAGTTTCTAAAACTAAAATTAATACTAGGCCATGGACAGACCAACCAATGAAATGGAATTCAAAGTCTAGAAATAAACCAATTGTATATGGAAAAGAAAGCTATGTCAGTTGGGGGAAATGGACTTTTTACAAGTTGTACTGATATACAGTAATTGGGCAGTCATATTGAAAAATTAAACTCATTCCTTACATCATGTATCATAACCTCCCAATAAATCATTTTTAAATGTACAAAAATAAAACAATACAAGAACTAGAAGGAAAAAATTAGTAAGTTCCTCCATAACCAGGGAGTAGGGAAAACTTACCTATAACACAAAATCCAGATGCAATAAAAAGAGTGATAAATCTAGTTATATTTTTGAAAAAACTTTACAAGGAAATAAACACTATGAGCAAAGAAAAACGGTAATATTGGGAAAAAAATATTTGCAATTCCTATTACTAAGCGATAATCTTTAATATAAAAAAAGCTTCAAAAAATACAAAAGAAAACAACCAAGACCCCTATAGAAAAATGAATAGTATCAAGAGGAGATATCCCAGAGTTACACACTTTTCTCATGTCTTTCTCATGGTAATAAAACATCCTGACTTTTTAAGGACCATCTGTCTGGCAACAACAATAACCAAGGACAATCTATGAGTTAAGAGGTGTACTTTTTGTATACATATCCTATATAATAAAAGCCTAACATGCTAAGTGTCCGGTCGTCCAGTCGGCTGTTCAACCAATCCAAGCGTAATATGCTAATGATATGCTAAGGCCTCTCAACTGCTCACTATGAGGTGCACTGATCACCAGCGGGCAGTCGACTAACCAGTCACTATGATGTGCACTGACCACCAGGGGGCAGACACTCTGACCAGTAGGTTAGCTTGCTGCTAGGGTCCAGCCAATCAGGACTCAGCAATATGGGCTGGACACACTCTAGAGCCCTCCTGCAGTCCCTCCCCGGCTGGCTAACCTCCCACATCCCTCCCTGGCCCCAATCGTGCACCGGTGGAGATCCCTCAGCCTGGCCTGTGCCCTCTCGCCATCCCGAACCACTCAGGGGATGTCAAAGAGCCGGTGTCAGCCAGATGATGGAACAACCAGTTGCTATGATGCGCACTGACCGCCAGGGGGCAGATGCTCAATGCAGGAGCTGCCCTCTGGCGGTAAATGCACTCCCACAGGGGGAGCACCGCTCAGCCAGAAGCCAGGCTGATGGCTGGTGAGAGCAGCAGCAGTGGCGGGAGCCTCTCCTGCCTCTGTGGCAGGGCTAAGGATGTCCAACTGCCATCAGTCGGATATCTCCTGAGGGCTACCAGACTGCAAGAGGGCACAGGCCGGGCTGAGGGACACCCCCCGCCAAGTGCACGAATTTCATGTACTGGGCCTCTAGTATACTATACTATAGTATATATGTATATACTTCATTGATGGATCACAATGAAAGAAATGTAAATGGGTCTTAACTGTATGAAAAGATGCTCAGCCTCACTCATAAGGAGAAAAATGCAAATAATGGAAGATCAGACTCCACTAACCAAGACTGACCTACCCACTACCATTGCTGAATGCCCACTATGCCAGTAACAGAACCACTGCAGAGCTCCTGATACAGCAACACCCCTCAGGAGACCAACTAGTTATTTGATAGCAAGATGACTCCAAATGGACCCATTCTATCCTGGAAAGAGCAGCCATTCACATTGACAGGAATCAACATCTAACCCAGATATGGATTTCCTGCACACAGGGCCCCAGCCAGCACCACTATATGAGGGCTTACAGAGTAATCCACTGATAGAGGATCCCACAAAACATCTGATCAGACTCACTTCATAGCAAAAGCGGTGCAGCAGGGCTCACTGGTCCTGTCATACACTGCAGCATCCAAGAGCTGCTGGCTGAGATAGCGTTGACAAGCTGGCTTGGCACCCAGGTCACACATGGCAGTCCTTTGGTGTACACCTGCCCCATAGTGACAGTAAACAGAAATATGCAGCAGTCACGGCCAGAGTACAACATGGTCAAGGGCTAGGACTCCTTAGAGATGAGAGACTGGGTCTCACAATTAGGAGCCACCCAAGCCAGGTGCTAGCCAAGTGTGAAAAAAATCTAGAAGAGGTTCGAGGAAAAAGGTGATGAGAATCAGTTGTGGCCAACAGACCAGCTACAGTGCAGAGGTTATAATATATCCCAGTAAAGATCTTTTTATATATTTTCCCTAAGAAAAGAGGCCCACCAGAATCCTGAAGGACTGGCAGTACATGACCGAGACCTAGTGAATGCTGTGCTGTATCATCCATGTGTCCCTCGGGATTAAGGTCTTACTTCCCAGACGCTGACAGAGCTACTATAAGTCCTCTCCAGATTTGCCCTTGGCAATTACTTTCTTGTTATTATTTTACTCTTTAAAATAGTATACATACATCTTTCTTCTTTTTTTACTTGATGAAGCATAGGAAAATTTAATTCCTTCATGGGATAGCTCTTAGTAAAAATTCCTAGGAAATATTCAAAGCAACCCAATCAATCCAACTGGATGCCACTGTCCACTTGCCATGCTGCCTCTAACAGACCAAGGATGAAGCTTCAGGATCTCTTGAGGATTAAGAGACAAGCAAATTTACCCAAGGATGTGCCAGTGAAACAATACCAAACTAGAAGGAAGAGTGGGGAGTGGGTAAGGGAGAGTGTAGAGGGAGACAAAGAAGCATCCCACGAATCTCTGACTTTAAAGGAAACTCAGTATAGCCTTCACAGACTGGACGGACACTGGGTTGAAGAAGTGACCAGAAAAAATCCTATATAATAAAAGGTTAATATGCAAATCAACCGAATGGCAGAACAACTGGTGGCTATGACGTGCACTAACCACCAGGGGGCAGACACTCAATGCAGGAGCTGCCCCCTGGTGATCAGTGCGCTCCCACAGGGGGAGCACCGCTCATCCAGAAGCCAGGCTCACGGCTGGCAAGCGCAGCGGTGGTAACGGGAGACTCTCCCATCTCTGCGGCAGCGCTAAGGATGTCTGACTGATGGCTTAAGCCCACTCCCCGGGGTGAGAGGGCCTAAGCCATCAGTCAGACATCCCTTGAGGGCTCCTGGACTGCAAAAGGGCGCAGGCTGGGTTGAGGGACACCCACACCCCTGAGTGCATGAATTTCATACACCAGGCCTCTAGTAATTTTATAAGTAACCTAATTTAATATTGTTTCAGAAGACAAAGAGAAATCCATAAGCCCTAGGTTTGTATGTGAAGTAATGATACTAAATGAATACTTATGTTCAGAACTGTCACCAGGTGGGGCTATATGTTCAATTTAATAACATATCATTATTTGAAATATTCCTAAAATGCCCTTCAGAAATACCACATAGGCAAATAAAAACTGAAAACAAGTTTTTATCTTCATTTACTCCCCAAATCCTACTGAAATGACAGTAAGGGGTCAGAGGAAGGTATAAACACTCAAGGAAAAGAACAACAAAGAAGAAAATACAACAGGAGACATGTCAACAAAATTTTGGGAACTGGAAAGCAGATGGATGTAATAAGAAGCAAAGCAGATCAGAGCAGGTGACACCTATAGCAGCAAAAGGAGCAGCCAATTCCAGCACCAAATCTCACAAAGGCCCAGGGACCACAGGAGATACAAGGGCAGGGTCAACTGAAAACCGCAGCAGTTAGTCCCTAAATCTCCTCCTCTTCCTATGGGGTCAGGCAACTACCCCTCCTCAACCCTGGAAAAAGACAAGAGACTTACAGTATTTTACTTAATGTGAATTTCTTATAGTAACCCAACTTTACCCTTTGCCCAAACCTGCTACCTTCCCTTCCCCACATAACACAACAAAGAAAATAAGAATGAGGGCGCTGGAAAAATAATCTAGAGAGGC